TACAGCATCATGTCCTGAGAATCACATATAATCGCCAAATATATCTTAGGGAGCTTGAAATGACAGGTTTCATGCCTGGCAATAAATGCAGATTATAACAAAAAAAGTCATGTTTGTCACAATGTGTGTCAGGGGATCGACTGGCAAAACCGAAGACAGACGCCTGGATTTATAAATAAAAAGCAGAACAAAACAACATTATTCATGCATAAAATAGAATACTTAACTTGCAATCAAAGATTAATCCTTTTATTTCAAACCGATACTGACATTTCTGGGTCCATATTTAAATTTGATCCCGGAAAAGCGTCTTAAACAATAAGGTAACAAATCTTCTCAGTATAAACTTATTCATGCTTAAGTTTTATCGCGTCGGAATGTTTCCTGGTCAACAGCATAAAAGACTGGTGAAAATTAAGCTTACCAGGTCGTTCAAGTCAGTACGAGAGTATGACGTTAATACTGCAAAGACGTTCTGATCTGGTGAATTTGGACTGCCTTCTCTGAGAGATTTTGCTTAGTTTTTCAGTGCGCTTCTTGTCGGCTATGCGAATCTCGCAAACTGTTTTACTCCTTGCTGACGATAGTCCTTTGAGCAACGTCATCTGCGTCATCCGAAGATACCCCGAGCACGCACGAAATCGGCCGAATTTCCGCAGAAGTGTTTTCGGATGACGATGAATCTAGTTTGTTGTAGCGTGGCAGTTGTGGCGTCACGATGTCGTCATGTCTCTTCGCATTTGTTTGTCTTTTTTTTCTGCGGTGCATGGTTGAGATGTTGGTGAAAGCTGGACAAGAAATGGATTCTGCGAGAGACTGTAAGTACAAATTTAGTATTAATTTGGTAAAGAAAAAGCCTGAATATCGAACAAATCCCGTGAATTAGTCTTTTGGCATTCAGTTTATCTTACTGTTGAGCATGCCTAAGAACTCCGGCATAAGTGTCATAAGTGGTTGTCAACTCGTTCACTTCGGATTGTTTCTGATTGTATGTCTTGTAATCTTCTTCTGCTGCTAAGAAGACTAGAGAAAACCTCAAAAATAAAGAAACCAAAGCTAAAAAAAGTCAGATCTAATTTTATAGCTCGAGTATAATTATTTTTGGCACCTACGGTCATATTTTTTCGCTGTACTGGTAAAGTTACTTATTTTTGCTGCATAGTTTGACTGTTGTTCGAAAGACAATCAAACGGATATGACAATCACTTTTGGAGACAAAATAAAATATCCGTAAATCAAATGCCAAAATCAGATTTGGATTTCGCTTTATAAAAATGAACATGCTGCAGGTGTCAATGCAAAGTTGTAAACAACTCAGTATAAGCAGTCTGTGAATGTGCGTTTAGGTCCACAAAACTAATTTTTCTTTTGGACATCTCATCCAAGCAAAGACTTAAGGCTTACATTGCTTGTCTACGAGTGTATTACAAAATGCTTTGGTGCAGTAAGCCTCTGAGAGGCGATTCTGGTAAATTTATAGGACGCTAAAATGCAAATAATTCTAAGCTTAAACAACCTGGCTGGGTCCGACTTTTGAATTACAAAATGTTCACGTTTGCCGGCTCTACCTTAAATGAACATGGTTTTTGAAATGATTTTGTACTATTTTAACCCGAAAATTATGATTGGGTTATAAAGCTTTTAAATTGGACGAAAACTAAGCTAATAAACATGTTCAATGTAAAAAACTAAGATTTAGTCGCTTTTTCAACTTTGCTTTGTGGGCCGAAAAATTTACCTTTACGCAAAAACAAAAGCAAACAATGAGGCTTTTATTCGACATATTTTCTGAGAATTTTATCTGATCAATTTAATGTCACTAGCATTGTTTTCGTATAGGAATTTTCCTAATTATATGAGCTTTTAATTTGATAATTTTAATACTCTATAAACTTCTCATTTGATAGCTTCACTTTTTTATACACCGATTGAGAAACAAATTCGCTCTCCTTAAATCCTATTTTATGACCTATTTATTAGAACTCTAGGTAACATACGAAATGATGTAACCGGACAGGCTTTAACCTCTGGTCCTAATTTATTTTTTCTTCGCAACCCCTAATCAGTTGACGGGCCGTGGGAGAAAATCGCCACAAAAAGATGCGAAAAAGTTTTCGCTGAGTTTCCTTTACATATTCCGGCTTTATATGGGCGTACACCTTACCTGCTTAAAAATGAAACTGTTGTTCAATTAAGTGTCAGTCAAACTCGGTATAATCTTGACTTGCAAATCCAAATGCAAAGGTTTATTTCGCAGTAGAAGAGCGTGTAAACATCATCGAACAACGCAATGTAAATTGGCTAATGTGAAACCACGTTTCTTTCAATTTATTTAGCATGCATTTATCTCAATTGCACACTCTTGTGAAATTAGCCTCAGACAATTAGCAGTTACGACCTTTAACAGACTCAACAAGCCAGTATGAAAATATGTTAAGAGAAGCTGAGCTCTACATGTTCTTTTTCTTTTTTCTCATATTGCCCTTGCATGTGTTAACATTCCATTTCTTTTTTGTTACAGGTAACTTCCAGACATGACGAGGAGATAATTACTTTTCTAGAGAGCAATTCTTTGATACTGTCAGTTATTACTGACTTACTTTGAGTTAAAAACAGAGAAAACAGACACTGGTAATGACACAAAAACATTAATCCCTGGCAAGCCTAAAAAACAAGAAAGAGGAACTCAGACTCCTTATCAAAATGTGAAACAAGATAAAAACAGCTTTTCTAACGTAGGGAAATTTGCTTTAGAGAGATTTGTAATTGCAACGTTATATTCAAGCACATTGTATTGTCAAGCATCATAATTTACTGAAAAATGAACAATGATTTTGGGGCTTAGCTCAGTTTGTAATGAACTTTGAAAGATATTCTATAACCTTGTATTTTTAAAAGCTTTCATGGAACATAGATGCATTTTATTATACAATGAAAATAGTGTCTGTCTCTCTTTTTACTGATTTCAGTCAATTCCATTTTATTCGCAATGTGAAATGGGAATCCTATTAAAGACTCATTAAAAGGGGTGAGGAGTTTTTACAATCCCCAAACAGGTCATCTCCACGATGGCGCTGTTTTATTACTACGGCAGAATCCCTCAGGGTTTTACTTTCTTGTGAAAATTAGAGCTTTTGTTATTGAAACTTCGCTGGGACAACCAAATGGAAGAGCAATGACGTCATCGTGTAACCGTACTTCAAAAGATAAGCACGGTGATCTGTTTAGTTTTTTTTTTTCTAGCCAGGCTTAAAATATCTGTAGATTCAAGGAATTATAACCGGTGCGTTGAGAGCATGCCAGGGACCGATTTTGGCATGCCCGGCATGACCCAGATTATGGCACGCCCGGCATGCTAGAGAATTTGTCATGCCGGGCATGTCAGAGAATGTGGAATGCCCGGCATGCCGGAGATTTTGCTGGGTATGAATTACTTATTACTACTCGCGGCCTGGGTGAGAAGGTCACGGAACCTCAAATTGTACTTACAGGGCATGCGAAATTCTGTTGCATGCCAATTTCAATGCAAAACCACTCTGGGGCCACCCCCTCTATTACCAGTGAGCAAATCATTGACGATAGGCATGGGAAAAATCCTTGCATGCTAACCAACATTGAAAACGTAGCAGAAATGTCTTCAGTTGCTGAGTCATGCCCTAGGGGAGGCTTTAAAATACAGAATTTCCTTACATGGATGAGAGAATTTTCCGTAAACAGCATGTGATCATGCCGGCTAGGACGCATTTCCTCCGTATTGCCCCTTTTTACAGCTAGCTAGGTTCATTTTTAGGTTCCATGGCCTGAAATGACGAAAAATTCATGCCCTGAATGTAAAAAGTCCAAAAACTTCCTCGAAATTTTAGTTTCCAAGCCGTTTTTTTCATCTAATTTCACAAAATTTTCAATAAAGGTAGAATTACCAGTTATTTTTAGTGGGTTTAGTGACTTTTTTGTACTTTTGTTTCAGATTTTTCCCTGAGTGGTACAGGAGTTATTTCCAATGTTCTTAAAATTGAGTTGCATCACCTGAACTCTCCAAAAGATAAAGAGGTCAATGAAATACAGGTTCAACATGGGGAAGCTGTTTGTGGTCTGTGCATGAAGAAATGCTACAGGGGTATTCCAGTGGGTCTCAATTTATTTACCGTAATCAGTTTTTCCTCTTCACAAGACATCAGAAGTGAAGCTTATATACTGAATGCTCTGTGGTAGCCCATGTGTGCCATAGGAAAAAGCTGTAGAGCGAGAGTAAATCAATATTTTTTTTTTTGCAATAATTTTTATTTTATTGATTAGTTATCTTTATTTTTTATATATTTTTTTGTTTTTTATTTTTATTTCTTTTTTATTTCTTTTCTTTTTATATTTTTTCGAATAATTTTTATTTTATTTATTTTTTATCTTTATAGTTTTCTTTCTTTTTATTATTTTCTCATTCACACAAAAAAGAAAATAAAACTTAAAGTGCTACTACGATCAAATTTGGGAATTTGTTTTTGATACATATTTCAAAAATGTATGTAAAAGTGACTTACCGTGCCAAGTTTGGAGTCCAAATATGATCTGGAAGTGTGTTTATTTGCACGGCAATTTTCGTAAATGTCTTGCCGCCATTACTCGATTCAAAAAATGACCGGGAGTAGTATTTGAAGGAGTTGGGGCGAGATGTGACGTAGAAACATCAACGCGGCAAAACAAGGCAAACAAACGTGGCTAATTTCGCATGCAGGACGAGATATTTTTGGAAGCTTTTGGAGGTTTTTTCTTCGCTTTTTTGACTTAAAGCGAAAGTATGCCTGGTAGACGTTGTGTTGTTCAGGACTGTGGAAACGTAAAGAACGATGAATTGGGGATTTCTATTCATAATTCTCTTGATTTGGGCAGCGTTAGATTAAAGTGGAAAAGGTTCGTGTCCATTTATTCGGAAGGATTTCAACCCAGTGGGAAAATTTGCTGTGTGATCGGAGCATACATGGGATTGTTTTACGCTTGCTTTTCCGATGAAAGACATGAAAAGGAATTTGAAGAAGGGGACGTTTCCAACCATTTGGAAAAAATCCTTTCAAACACTATCAAAGCAGAGTCGACGATCGGTGAGTGAAATTACAATGTATTTGCGCTGTGCTTATCACCATTATATTTATTTCCCCATTTACCTCTGACATGATTTTTTCTGGCATCGTTGTTCAATATTCGTGTAATGAATGCTCTGACTATTTGGACTTCCCATATTGTTGCATGTGTTTTCATACTTTTCTGCTTTCTTCCCATAGTTATAGTAAAACGGGCATTTGCGCTGAGTGGACGTGAAGTCAATTCCCCAATTCCCAGACCTTTCCACTCAAGCGTAAAATTTAGAAAAAGTGAAGCTACATAGAAATCCGGCTCTCTATTTTTTGAGAGATTATCTTGCTGTTACTTTGAGATTTGACAGTACTCCAAACGTCCCTCCAAGAAATCTTACAGCAAATTAAGAGTTACACGCGAGTCTTTTAAAACGACCAAAATTGGACTTAGTCTGATTTCTACATTCTGTAAGTTCAGTTACTGTTTGCGGGTTTTTTTTCGTTTGTATTTTAATTCTATTTTCACTGTCTGCAAATGATGCATACTTTTTAAGGCAAAGATGTGGTTAAACCTTGCTTCCATTTCTAGTTTTGAAAACATCGACATAAAGCTCAAATTTAAACTTGTTTTGAATGGGAGATATAGAAAATGGTCGTACCTATTTTCATTTTTAGATATTAAATGAAAATCTGGCTGGTCAAACTACTAATGAGGATACAGAGAAAGAAGACAATCCTGAAGAAGAGGTGATCTCTTTGAAAGGAAGTTCTGCACCTGAGGAGAGTGCTGACACTATGGGGGCTCCCAATCTCAACCCTAAGGAGTCTCCAGAAGTCGAGGGTGTTCTGAATACAAGTCAGGGTTCTTTGCTTGAGGTAAATCCTGAAGGGAGGGCTGCATCCCTGAGACTGAGACGGGTGAGATAAGTGTTGATGCTGAGATGGCTTCAGAGGTCCTAGGTACTCCTGGTGATAAGACAGCTCTCGAGAGCCAAGGGATTTCAGGCACTGATGAGGTTACTGAGACCATGCAGATCCTGGAGGCTCAGGGAATCGAAAAAGTGCAGGATATGGATGAAGATATGCAGATTGATGAATCATTAACGATTCCTGAACTTGAACAGGTTTCTATGGTAGGTGCATAACTCTAATTAATGTTTATTTGCATCTTTGTATTATCATAACAATGGAAAACTACATGTGCAGTTATTTTACAACAATACTAAAACACAAAAATTCTAAAGTCTTGTTATTACAGCCTGTATTAATGTTGAAAGTTTGTTTTTTGTAGGATACTCCAACTGGACATGCTGGGAATTACACAACATGCAAAACCCTGAGGAGTGAGGTGACTCAGTTAAGGGGCAAAGTCACAAGACTGAAGGGTAAGTTAATCTCCAGTCAATTGAAGCCTTTAAGAGCATACAAGAGCCGAAGCAGTTGCTGATGGTGAATGCTGGTGAGTCAACAATAATTGATGTTGATGAGTCATATAGGCATAACTGCCTATCTTTATATTTTTATTATATTTTATCAGTATTTGATTATTTAATAATAATTTAAATTTTAATGGTGATAGAATTTTTTTAATTCCATTTGTTTAAGCTATTCAAACTGATCCATGGCCAGTAACAAATGAGACAGAGTTAGGGCTAGAGGATGAATCAGAAGATGAGCTAACCTGCGATCAGGCGATTTTTTGAGCAGGAAACGCAGGACAACACGTATGAGGAGTTTGAGTGTGATGAAGACCCTACATGGAGTCCTGAAGAAATCGAAGATGCATATAAAAATCTAAAGGAAGATGATGACTCGGTGAAGACTCATCAGAACCCAAGGTACAAAGATGCAAAATTTATTGCATTTTAACATCTTAGCTCTAAGTATCTTTTGGGAAGTGATTTAGGCCTAAAACTAACTTCCAGTATGAGAGGATCTATTTAATTAAACAAGAGTACATGAAATTTGTTCTTGTAATTTACTTAGATAAGAATTGCTAAAAAAAAAAAAAAAAGAGGCATAGCCAGCCCATAGACTGGAAGTCCCAGGCCTAAAAATGTTTGGTTTGTCCACTCAACCACTTGTAATAAATTATGCATCGTTGGGGTGGGCTAGATAGCTTAAGGGCTCAAAGTTGTCATGTGTGCAATCAACAGAATTATTATAAAAAAAGCGTTTTTCAGGATGTATTTGAGAATAAAATCCCAACCCACAATTAGCCAGGTTTACAACAAGTTGAAAAACTGGCAACACCCTGAGAAAAACAATAAAAATGATAGTCATGTTTAAATTGTTATTTTATTATTTCAGATGCTATGATTAAATGAGTATTTCCTTTCAATCATTTTTGACAGGTTGGATCTACAAGGAAAAAACATTCGAGAGGAACTGAAGGGAATTGTTTTCCTTTCCAAACTTCTTCTTTTATTTCAGTTCTCCCACTTGTGCTTCTTTTCAAAACCCAATTTTTTTCAGGTACCTTGTTAACTGTAGAAAGTTTCTGCAGAAACTGTAGCCAGACAAAAGTCTGGAAGAGTCAACCAGACCTGCTAGGAAAGTTTCCAGCAGATAACCTGCTATTAAGTTTTGCAGTGTTCTGTGAGCCGAGTGAAAAGAAAGAAACGATACATTAAAACTGTAATTAAATTCAGGCTGCATTCCATTTAATTTTTATTACTTGTGTACATGAAAATTGGAGCAACATCAGAATTCCCAGCCACTAAACTTGAGTTTAACTGAACGCTAGAAGAACAGAGTAAGTGGCTGAGAATTCTGAAGTTTGGCCCATAAAATTAAGTGCATACGGACAACTATTCAAGCAACTACTGTTGGTCCTTCTTGGCCCCAGTGGCATACATGACACTCTTCAAGAACAAACAGTGCATTTATTATCCATTTTCTTCATCTTCGAATCCACGATAATGGCCATTTTGACTGGGAAATTGTTTCCTGATTTTATTGTAGGCACAACAGGGCAAGGGGTATCGCCTGGAACTACCAATAATATATAGATTTAGCCAGGGCTAAAAGCGAGGCTCCCATTAGTAAATTTATAATTTAAATTAAACAATAAACTTGTATTCGAATTCCACAATTCAGTTAACTTTAGAGCACATTTATGTGACTTTTGAGGGAAAGGCTACCTGATTTTAGAGAAAAATAATTTGCAAACAGCCCAAGAGTGAACCAAAGCTTACATCGAGTTGATAGCCTCATATGTACACTCAAAAACTGGTAATCATCTTTTATCACATTTAAGAGCCGTAATGGCTATTGATCACCGTAGATCAATTAGGCTTAGAAAAAAAATCAGGCCAACGTTTTGGCGTTCGACAAGTTTACTTTGCAAAATCTTGCCAACAAATCTGGGTGCGTGTAAACCAACCTTTTATACCATGGACAGAAAGCAGTATTTCACAATACAAATTGCTCTCATTCAATATTCATAAACTGTTAAAAAAATTTTCCAAAATCACCTATACGGTCATCCGGTTCTCACTTTTGTAGTGCGAGCTGTGGCGAGTGTTTGAATGAACATTAACAGAGTTACGCTCCAAGATAATAAAGAATTTATCATGTTTATTTTTTATTTGATGGTTTAACGCGCGGCATTTTGAGAACTCCTGCAAGCGATGTTCACTGAACGACTTTAAACAATCGGCATAGCCATTAAAATTGCAAGAGAGACTACCAACAATCAATAAAAGAAATATAATTCGGTGAAACATAAACAGAGACAACAATTTTCATTCAGGAAGACAAGTATTAAAGTGTCCCTAAATATCCTGAGTCTTCAAGCTTCAAGCTTAAGTTTGCTGAAGTTTATGTTTTAAGCCAGCTTCCCGGTGTTTGTTTTTTCAAAGACGAACTCGAGGCAAGAAAATCGCTCAAAGCTTTCTTTTCCGGCTAGAATTATAACTAAAGATTCTTTGGAACATTTTCTTTCTATTTGCGGTGAGAAACTGTCTAAAGGCTTTTTAAAGTTCTGTAAGATTATATCAAACCAGATACTCGGTGAGATCGTTGTCTCAAATGTTACAAACGCGCATAAACTACGCTCCACTTCATTAAATTAGATACAAAAAACAAACATGAAATACAATAATTTCTCTGGCTTACCATTCGAGATGCAGCTCCTGAAAGTTATCAGGTAAAGCCAGTATCGCTTCAGACTTTGCAATCCTCTTACGCATCAAGCAAGGTGAAAACGAAAACGATGCCATCCGAAATCGGATTTCCGACTTTGACAAGCGACGTTTTCTCAACCAAATTCCAATAAACAAACTAGCCATGAGTAACAGAAGACTCCTGATAGCAGCTGAATTTCACTTTGTACATCCAGTGGAAAAAGACAGTTAAAAACATCACAAGTTGACACAAAACTCTGTCAGCTTCAGCTGTTAAAGTAAACAAGATTCAAGATGCTGCATAAATTTTGCGCATGAACTCACATGTCAAATTTTGACCAATCAGAGCATAAAAATTGGACGTAGAGCGTGACCAACGCGTGACCATTGTGAGAAAAAACAAAAGCAACTGTCTTCCCTGCCTGTAACAGCTGGCTGAATTTTCACGTCCGAGGTCAGTTTGCAATCAAAATGTTAATTGTGCAGCACATAAACACAACATATTTCATATGAATTAAGAAAAAAAATTGAACTTGAGCCTGCGATCACTTGAAAACTAGTTTACTTGTCAGCGGATAACTTCAAAAAATACTTGACCTCGACGGGTCGACACCTGAGCCCGCGATACGGTCAAGTGATACTGGTCAGCGGGTACTCTGTTTTGACAGCTGTCAATTGATCAAAACATTGATGTCCAATATGTGTGCATTATCAGTTTTCCTGTGCTCCCAAACTAGTAAAAGTATGAGATTGAACGTTGTTCGCGATCTAGTAAAACAGTTAACTGGTCAGCGGACAGCTTCCAAATAAATCACGTCACCTCGATGAGTTGACACATGAGCCCGCGATATGGTCATGGGATACTGGTCAGTGGCTATCCCGTTTGGACAGCTGTCAATTGACCATATTGTTAATGTCCTATATTAAAGATGTGGGCTTGCCAAGACACGCCTGAGACACCCCTCCCTTCCTTTTGATAGTCTCCCCTACCCCACCCATACAATCTGTAGACTCGTACGTACGTACGTACGTACGTACGCTCGGTCAATCACGTGACAACCAAACGAAAAGAGGTTGACCATATTCCATGGGTATGGGGCTCTGTCCCACGCGCGCTTCGCGCGCGCGGGAGCCCCGCTATAACTCCACAGCAGTCTTGTAAATTGGCGATAGGCCACAGACCTCAGGAATCTAGTTAGAGAAATGAGATCACTGTTAATTCAAGGAGGGATTGGATGGAGATAAATAAATACTCCTTTTAAAAATAAGCAGTTGGGGCAATAAAGCCATTTAGAAAATAAAAAATGTGATTCTATGAGATCAGTCCACGGCGATAAGCTTAGATGTATCAATTATTCAATGCTATGTAAGGTTCGATCGTTCCGATACAAAGTCAACAATACCCCCACTTACTCATCATCACTTTTGTTACTTTGCCCACGAACAGTTGTGTACGACTTTCCAGCTCGCGTTTTTAGGCCCAGTGCAGCCACTACTAATACGTGGCGATTTAAGCAGACGCTTTCAAACCCTGGATGGAGGGTTATGCATACAGTCCGGTCTCCAATGGCTTCTTCCATGACCTCTTCGCAGCGATCAATCTCTTTGCAGCAAATGCACTCCTGCGCTTTTGTAACAAGGCTGACAGAGCAGTTCGAGCACGAACACCTGCAAAATAATATGAAAAATTCGTCAAACACAAGAAAAATACGTCTGTATAAAATTATTAATTGTCTGACCTCTTCAATAAAACTATCGCATAAAATCAGGACTACAGCTAATCACATAGCAACGAAATTGTAAACTTAAACAAAACACATAGTCGCGTTCGTCACGCGCACGATTTAACGACGGGTATGTTGAAATTGGAAAATAAAAATATAAATCTACATTCCATGATAATACCATACCATTCATTCGCTGGCACCTCTCCCGAATATCTTCGTTGAAACTGTTGTTCCTCTTCTTCTTCGCGATGAACTCTTGTAGTCCGCGGCTTCTTCCTCGGTAGCAAGGGCTTCACAACTGTCGTCATACGGCGCAAATTCAGACAATTCCCCAATCACTTCGTCAACTGTAAAACTTTCTAGATCACTTTCAGATGTGCAGGAAGAGGAATCCGACGGAGATGACATCTTAAACGTCTTGTTAAAAGGCTCTAAACTCACAAACTTTTCCCAAATGCGAATCTTTTGGTTGATGTTTCTACGTCACAGTGCATAAATCACGTGGTCAAACGCACGACCGCTTTGCGGAGATCTCGCGGGCTATTGTTTTGCGAACTTTGTAATGGCGGACGGTATTTACGCACTTTTCAGTGGGAAATTTCCAGCCCCCGTACGCAAGTATCGTTCCAATTTTTCGCTATTTGTATAATTTTGAACATATACAAAAGATTTATGTTAAAAAAACTCGGAAACAAAAACAAAAATTTTCGTCGTAGTAGCACTTTAAAAAAAAGGAAATAAATGAGTATGGCCTTTGAGTGCCATAGTAAAAAATAAAAATAATAAAAAAAATGAGTATGGCCTATGAGTGCCATAGCAAAAAAAAAATATTTAAAAAAATAATAATTACAAAAAAAAAAGCTTGTGGCCTGGATGTGCCATAGACCAGAATGCATTTAGATTCCCAGGTGCTAGACCCAATATGGTGGACGCTTGGATTAGAAACAGTGATTGGGAAGATGACAATGATTTAAACAACGACCTAGCTAAGTTTGTCAGTCTGAATTTAAAGAGAACGGAAATATTAGACTTCTTGAGAAAAGATTACCCGATGTACGCTTGGAGCCTTAGAAGTCTGGCATGCCGAATGCAGTATTTTGGAACGTTTCAATTTACTGACTATGATGTCGAGGTAAATGATGTGGAAGCAGCAGTAGAAAAAGAGATTTCAGGTCCAGGGAAACTGCTTGGCTACAGAGCCATGCATAAGAAAATACGAGAGATACACGGTCTGAACGTGCCAAGGGATTTAGTTTACATGGTAATGGCTAAAGTGGATCCCCGTGGTCTGGAGGAGACAGGAGGTTTTGGGAAAGCTAGGTGAACCCGCAGACATAAAGCGTTCATGAGGGGGTCAGAGTAAAGTAATTCCTGCCCAGCTGCCTGTCAGCATTAGCCCCACTAGATAGATGTAGTTGACTTGACTGGTACCTATCAGTTAATTTTAACTGTAACAGTTACGGTGAAACACCGCTAACTCGAACTTGGTTCCCTCAAGCTCTGATCTGCTAACTCAAACTAATATTACTTTCCTCGGCTAAAATTTACAAAGTGGGGGTGGTAAACCTTGAGTGTTAGAACATAATCATTATTTTCTTGTTTACATGCTCTTATAATTTTGGCTAAAACCCCCAAAAACATCAAGCTCTTTTTGTAAAACTGGGATATAAATGTAAGCAAGGAGATTTCTGAAAAAAAAAGCAAGGTACAAAAATTAATAATGAAAATCCATTACTAATAATGAGTCAATTTCATGAAAGCCTTAAAGCATTTGGTTTTGGGGGTTATAAGAGCATGTAAACAAGAAAATAATGATTATGTTCTAACACTCAAGGTTTACCAGCCACTTTGTTTGTAAGTTTTAGCCGAGGAAAGTAATATTAGTTTGAGTTAGCAGATCAGAGCCTGAGGGAACCAAGTTCGAGTTAGCGGTGTTTCACCGTAACTGCTACAGTTATGTGGGTAAAATTAACTGATAGGTACCAGTCAAGTCAACTACATCTATCTAGTGGGGCTAATTCTGACAGGCAGCTGGGCAGGAATTACTTTAGTCCGGCCCACTGATGAACACTTTATCTCTGCGGGTTCGTCTAACTTTCCCAAAACCTCCTGTCTCCTCCAGACCACGGGGATCCACTTTAGCCATTACCATGTAAACTAAATCCCTTGGCACGTTCAGACCTGTAGCCAAGCAGTTTCCCTGGACCTGAAATCTCTTTTTCTACTGCTGCTTCCACGTCATTTACCTCGACATCATAGTCTGTAAATTGAAACGTTCCAAAATACTGCATTCGGCGTGCCAGACTTCTAAGGCTCCAAGCGTACATGGGGTAATCTTTTCTCAAAAAGTCTAATATTTCCATTCTCTTTAAATTCAGACTGACAAACTTAGCTAGGTCATTGTTTAAATCATTGTCATCTTCAAGCGTCCGCCATATTGGGTCTTATTCTGGCACCTTGGAATCGAAATGCATTCTGGTCTATGGGACATCTAGGCCGCAAACTTTTTTTTTTTGTAATTATTATTTTTTAAATATATATTTTTTTGATATGGCACTCATAGGCCATACTCATTTTTTTTATTATTTTTATTTTTTACTATGGCACTCATAGGCCATACTCATTTTTTTATTTTTTTATTTTTTACTATGGCACTCATAGGCCATACTCATTTATTTCCTTTTTTTAAAAATTTTATTTTCTCTTTTGTGTGAATGAGAAAATTATAAAAAGAAATAAAAAAGAAATAAAAATATAGAGATAAAAAATATATAAAATGAAAATTATTCGAAAAAGTATAAAAAGAAAAGAAATAAAAATAAATAAAAATAAAAAACTAAAAAATATATACAAAATAAATATAACTAATCAATAAAATAAAAATTGTTACAAAAACATATTGATTTACTCTCGCTCTAAGCTTTTTCCTATGGCACACATGGGCCGCCATAATGCTCCCATACATCAATACCCCATCCGTTTAGGGTAAATGTCACAAAAAAGAAACCTCACGTGTACTACCTTGTGTTATATTTTTAGCATCTTTACAATATTATTTTTCTTGTACTTTGAGCCGTGCCCTGCTAAGTAAATCCATGTCCCTTTTACAGTGTTCTGCGGGGAACATAATGTACTGAAATTGTCTGAAGCTATAGAACATTTGCACTCATAGAGGTTTCCCCACAGAGATATAAAGAGTGACAACATTATTCCTACAGAGGTAAACAATATGTACCACCCGATGCTCTTTGATTTTGGAAAGGCTATCTTGCTATCGGATGCCCCTTCAAAACAGCAGTCCATGACTGCTCACTAGCACTGAAATATAGCTTCAGAAATATGCCTCAGATATTATGTTTTCACGTGGCGTTAATAAGTCATGGCAAAAGTTAGTGGCAAAGTGAAAGTAGAAAGTCATTTTGTGCAGGGCAAAGAAAATGCCTTCAGACAGATCCAAAGTTGAGATTTACTATTTCATGTCTTCTGTCACTGCTCAAAACAAATTTTTAGCTGGAACCTTTTTTCTGTCCAACAGTTATAAAATATCATATTCCTATTTAAAAAGGAAAATCAAAAAGTTATCTTACTGTGTGAATTCCTATACTAAATAAATCTATTAAAATTCGACTCATTTAGTGAAAAGGGATCACTATAATAATATTGAAGGTGTAAACCCCGTTGGTCTAAGAAGTTTAGGTTTAAGTGAAGAAATGCACCATGTTAATGTTGTTGAGTGAAGGCTGATATAAATCTCGCCAGTCTGTTTGAGCAGTTTAAAAAGACAAATCATATTGAACTCAAAATCAGGATTGTAAAGAGCAGCAAAGAAATTATTCGTTCATGTCTTTGCTGAGTTTCTATTCAAAAATTATATGAAATACAAAGCAATTTCACCATTAATTTTGTTGTATTATTGGCTGTTGGGCTTTCAAAATGGGGTCATTTTTAGGAGGTTCACCATCAAGGTGTGGTCATCTCAAGGTATAGTCAGTGAAAACTAGAACAAATAGTGGTAAGAACAAAATTGTCCGTTTTGATGTGAAGTTCCTTGAATAAATGGCCATGAGGAAATTGTGTACAAGTGAATAATCTCAACCCTGACTTTGAAATGCACCGAACTTTTTTTTTTGGACCAAATTTAAGGTACTGTGGGTGGCCTTGTTATTGTTAGCTTTTTAATAATAATATTATGATGTAGAAAAAATACAGTAAATGATTTGACTACCGGACCTTTGTCCAGTAGATTTGTTGTGGTGTAGTTACTTTATGTAAAGGGGAGGTAGTGTGGGCCCTCTGTAACTATATACAACAGTTACTGTGTCATTATGAATTTTTAGTTTTAGTAATTGGAGCTGCACAGAACACCCACAGAATCACTCCATATCACGTGTTAAGTTATTAGAAACTGCGACAGGTGCCCCACAGAACGACGATGTTAAAAAGCGGCGACCACAAAACAGAGGGTTTATAAATAGCCAACTGGTTTGCTTACTGCTAATTGGATAATTGTTTTGTCATCTTTGAACCTCATTTTATTCTCCAAATCACAAAAGTAGAAATTGTAGAAAATTGTGCAAAACCAGATAGTCTAGTACAGAAAAGGGTGTCGTCCTTGGTCTGAAACTAAACTATATAGAGACTGTACTGGTTCGTTATATTGCAAAGGGCCACTCTTAAACTTTTAAGAATTTATCTCTTTGAGTTAGAGGCTGCTAGTATATTTATGGTTTTTAATCATGTTTTATCCTTAGAAGCAGTTCTGAAAATTAAAGTTCCAGACCCCTAAAAAACGTCCTTGAATCAACCACCAATTAGGTCTTGAATTTAAGAATTTCTATAATCAACAAATGATAAGTCAACCATGTGAAAGACAGTCACTTATTCTGCTTCTGCGAACATCACTTGTTTGACTACGGCTAATTCTATATTGTGTTACATTTAATACCAGAGTTCTTGGCAAGCTCTTCAACAATCTTCATATTGCTCCATTCCAACTCACGCCCTTCATTTATCTCAACACCAACTTGCTTATAATGACGCTCTAGAATTCGCAAACAGATTACGTTATTGTTGCCGGTATTACAAGGGCTTTTATTAGGATCGGTAATAAACTGAAGATCGTAGTTGAAAAGAGGCAAATTATCCTTCAACGACGCGGTATGATGGGTGCAGATATCTACCTTATTCCCCGCTGCTCGGTGTGACAAGCAGTAACTTACAAGAATCTTTGACCATATCCAATTTCCGTTTATTTTATATGTATGAAAGGCTGTTTGAGGTTCCGACAGAATAGTTTTTGTATGTTCAGGTCCAATAGCATGGCCTTTTGGAAACTTTTTATTATATTCTGTTAGGTTACTGGTGATCTCAAAACTCCAGTCGTAGCGATCTTTTTCAAAATACCAAGCATAACTGAGTACAATGTTTACAGGGGACACCTCCAGCCAGTCTCCTCCCCTCGTTTCGTAGAACTTAGGAAAAACCTCTTCAAGATCAGTGGAGTTGAATCTCTTCAGTATGTAGTCTCTGCAGCGCGTAAAGGTATCCCGGTAAATGTATACCGGGAAATAAATCATAAAATCAGCAACGAAGGGCAATCCTAGAGCAATTTCATTTGTTATTATCCAGTGCTTAACCCAAAACCTGCCGTACGTGTTATCTGAGGCCATAGCCCGTAACTTCGTGCCGGCAAAAACTGTAGAATTGGTTACTGGGGTGAGAAAGGCAGTGTCAGTGTCCATCCAAGCAATTATGGAATCGTTTGTATACTGATCAATGAAGAAACTGCTCCAAAGTTGCCTGATGTAACCCTTGCGATGAACTTTACCTGTCAATGTGCTGTTCTTTTTGGGAGGAGCCTCAAAGGCTATTGCTATCTTGTAATCAGGAAAGTAACACTTTGTTTCATGTGTCACCTTTGCAGCAAATTCGTGATCCTCTTTTCCTTCTTCATCAAGAACTAGAGCTATCTTTCCAAATGACGGAGGCCAATAAAGCACTAAAGTCCTGAACAAATGACAGTAATAACGAAACCGGTGATCGGGCAGACTGCCAGACATTCTTACAAATAACGTTATTGGGGTTTCCGTATACGGTGGTCCACTGGTGTTTTGGCTGCCGTCATTCTTACAGTTTGGGCCGAGCAGATGTTGAAAAGTGATATCTATCCGAGCCTCTTTTGCTAAATATACTAAAAGGAGGATGAATGTAAAAATGAAGCAGAAGAGTAAAACCTTTCGACGTGTCCATCGACTTGACCGAGGCATGTCTATCAGTTGTTTCGCCAGAAGAAAACAACCCCCTTTGCTTTATGAACCTCCACTGCGGAGCAGAACGAACAAGATTACGTTAGATTCGTGGCAACTTGGATAAATCATTTTATTGCGTTTGAACAGCTTTTTCGGCCAAACTACACCCCTGTTTAGTATATGTAATAGGAATAGATGCTGTCCAATTTGGAGATAATTGTATGAAAAAAATTCCGTAGGCCGAGTCCAATTTGGCTGTCAGAGGAATTTTTTGAATTCAATTATTTCTAAATTGGACAAGCATGTAGGAATTACATAGCTGGTTATTTCCCTTACCAAACAAGAATGTATGGGTGACATATGGAATTAATATGGTGTAATGTTTTCCACAGCTATTAATAACCAAACTTGTCAAAGGAAACAAATGTTTACACGTCCTACGAACACTAAGAAAGGAACACTACTTTCAGGCAGAGATAGATCATCTTTTTATATCTATTGTTTTACCTAATTTTAGCTATGCGCTTTCAGTCTTTGGGGCATTGGAGTCCGATCTTACGGTTATACAAAATTTTTTACACCGATACCATAAACTCCGTTTTATTTCATTTCCAGATTTTAACAAGAACCTTTTAAATAAACAAGACCGAAACATTTTAAAGAAATTAATATCAACGGATTGCCACCCACTGAAAGATATAATTCCTGTCCAGAAGACTTATGTACTTATGTGTAGATATTTTTATCATATTGTTTTATCTTCCGTATTATTGTAACATAAGATATGTAGTTTTATCTTTTGATGAAATAAAGACTCATTATTTATTATTATTATTTTATTATTTATACTTATTTTACTAGTAATGACATCAATTGATAGGTAGTATGGATTTGGCAGACTCTCATATGGTTTTTATATGTTTTTTTTTTTATTATTCACCTGGCTGCTTAAAGATTCGATGAAACACAATTACGATTATGAACTGGTGATAAATAAATTTCTTCGCGGCCAAAACTTATTAAATTGTTTGTAACTGGCGCATATAAACCCCTTTTGTAGCTAAAAGGTCAAACAAGGGGTTGTTACGCTCGCTAAACCGTCGGAATAAAACAGCCTGAAAATAAATGAACATAATTTTTAAACGTAAATTAGTTTTTGTAAAAGTCTGTTCACCGTTCAGTTTTATCCGATTTACAAACGCGGAAAAAATCTAAAAATTAAAAGACGTCCGCAGGAGCCTATCCTGAGTCCGCGTTTTACTAGTCCAGTCCAGTCCAGTCCAGTCCAGTCCTTCCAATACAGTATACCCAGATTGACCGGACTGATAGCAGGAGCAGAAGACCGAAAGTCATACGTAATAACAGAACATTTCTCGAAGCGAATAAAACAACACACAAGAAAAAACCAACGAAAACAAATTGATTGGCCTGTTTGCGCGACACGAGGTATAGTCGAGATGAACCTGCATAAATAACTATAAGCCCATAAAACTAATAACAAATGGCAAACGCCGAATAAATCTGGAACGTAGAAAATAGCCAAGGCAGCTAAGCCATAGAACCGCAGATGACTAATTCCAAATAACAGGATGAAAGCGGTCGTCTTCCGTGTAATAGCCCCCAAGTGTGTACATCGCGCACTGATATTTGTGAACAAAATAGAACTAAGATGCCATGATAATGAATTTTAAATTCGAACCGGAAATAATTGAGCATAAAAGCACGTGCCGTGCGTACTGGCAATGGAAGGTTAACACTTTAACATCGCATCGAGAAAACAAAGGGGCCCAAGGAATAAACTAGAAAAAAGTAATGTTTTTACTTCTTATTGAGATAGTAGTCTTTACACTAGAGCCTAAATAAGCTAAGAAATATTTCAAGACAAGTAAATTTTAATTACTTCAAGTAAAATAAAGCTTCACACACAACCGATTCTTTTTTACTTCAGGTTATTTTCCCACGGCATCACTAAAACACGGAATCCGGAATCCGGAAACGGCAACAGAATCACGGAAACGGAATACGGAATCTGTGAAAGAAGGTTCCAAGCAATCGATTTGAAAAAAGAATATTAGCAATGACAGTAAAATAAATAAACAGATAAAAAAAAAAGACACAAATGAATAAATTTGCTGAGTAGAGGAGAGGAGACTGCTGTATCACTATCGAAGTCGAGTCCGGTGAAAAGACGCTTGATAACACTATCGGCAATGACTGCAAATTCTCATGGGACAGCAAAGCGAAGAGAAAAACGTTACTGACAAAAACTAGTGCCTTAAGAAAAAGATAAGTTATATGAAGACAAACTTTGTTTGAATCGTCACAGGCGTCGTTTATATAACTGACAGGCGTCGCCTTCAAGTTTTTCTCTGTGTCTTTTGTGGGTTGTCTTCAACAGTGTCCAGTTTTATTTATCAAGACAACTTACTCAAGACAACCATGGCATTGTGGAGTCCAAAGAGAAGGGAGAATTGTGCATTTGCTTGATTCCGCAACCGATTACATCAAAATAATGCGCCATGTTTAATAAGCTTCTTCAACAAAAATACGGACGTCCACGTAAACTCAATTACCGGTACAGCAGTATTCGGGTGTATGTAAATGGCGGAACCTGCCCGGAACCGCCCGGAACCCCCGGAACCGCCCGGAACCCCCCGGAACCTGCCCGGAACCTACCCGGAACCTTGAAAAAAGCGCAAATGATAAAATTAAAAAAAAAAAACAAATAACAAAAAATAATACAAATCAAATAAAAATAATGAAAATGAAATAAATATACTAAATATAGGTAGCTTCCACCTTAAAAATAGTCTGAAAGCTACAATTTTTATTATTTTATTTCGTTTTAATTATTTTAATTTGATTTGTATTATTTTTATTGTTTATTTGGTTCCCGTCCTCTTGTTAAATCAGCCTAATACTTGAACAGGTCGGCACGTGACTAACGGAATGCCAAAGACCAAAGTACAAAGTATTGTTTTACGACTCGAAACCACGTGCGCTGTGGAAGTCAGCGAGAGAGCGTGGACAGTTTTTTCAAGTACGACCATGAATGAAGGGAAAGCCGAGACGATCACCATAGAAGATGAATCACAGTCTGAAGATGACAATAGTGAAGAGCTATATCAGCCGGTTTTTATGAGAACCGAGGAAACGTGTCCTTTTGCCAGGTAACATTTCCTTCGTACAAACAGAAATTTGACTGTTTACTGAGTTGCGTAAGCAAAAGCTGATATCTGCCCACAAATTTACGCGGTTTTGTTTTATTTCAACAGTGCTGTAAAAACTGAGGGGAACGGTCATAACGAAGTAATCGAAATCCTTTCCTCGCCGGAAAGAAGTCCGGAAAAGAAAAGGTAAGCGCAGGTTCACTTTTCGTGGAGGCATAGCGGGCTCCATTAAAGAAACAACCCGTTCCCCTCAGTTTTTACAGCACTGTTGAAATAAAACAAAACCGCGTAAATTTGTGGGCAGATATCAGCTTTTGCTTACGCAACTCAGTAAACAGTCAAATTTCTGTTTGTACGAAGGAAATGTTACCTGGCAAAAGGACACGTTTCCTCGGTTCTCATAAAAACCGGCTGATATAGCTCTTCACTATTGTCATCTTCAGACTGTGATTCATCTTCTATGGTGATCGTCTCGGCTTTCCCTTCATTCATGGTCGTACTTGAAAAAACTGTCCACGCTCTCTCGCTGACTTCCACAGCGCACGTGGTTTCGAGTCGTAAAACAATACTTTGTACTTTGGTCTTTGGCATTCCGTTAGTCACGTGCCGACCTGTTCAAGTATTAGGCTGATTTAACAAGAGGACGGGAACCAAATAAACAATAAAAATAATACAAATCAAATTAAAATAATTAAAACGAAATAAAATAATAAAAATTGTAGCTTTCAGACTATTTTTAAGGTGGAAGCTACCTATATTTAGTATATTTATTTCATTTTCATTATTTTTATTTGATTTGTATTATTTTTTGTTATTTGTTTTTTTTTAAAATTTTATCATTTGCGCTTTTTTCAAGGTTCCGGGTAGGTTCCGGGCAGGTTCCGGGGGGTTCCGGGCGGTTCCGGGGGTTCCGGGCGGTTCCGGGCAGGTTCCGCCATTTACATACACCCGCAGTATTCCATCAGTATTCAGCTTGGCGAAAAAGTTGAACTTATTGCTAAAACACCGGAACTGTGGTCACGTCACTGGTCGGTCATGTGTGGAGTATTCAGTTTGGGGACAATCACGTGGTGTGGTATGAGGCTAATTACTACTATTCTTGACAATTAGCTACAAAAGTAATATTTAACTGTATTATTCAACCCATGAACTCGTGAATAAACATTACTCGCAAAATTACTTTCATCGGCCTTGCAGTGCAGTAACCCACACTACAGCAAACCTTATCAAGACACAATAACAAGAATATATTTAAGGGAACTGCCAAGAAAACTGAGACAAATTCTCTTTCGATTGTACTTAAATTGCGTAATGTGAAATTCTTTAATTTACTATCATTAATATTTGATTCCGTATTCCGTTTCCGTTTCCGTTTCCATGATTCCGTTTCCGTTTTCGGATTCCGGATTCCGTGTTTTAGTGCTGCCCATTTTCCCACGCAACAAATTAAGATTGACATGTCTCGCCTTTCTCAAAGCTCAAGAAACCGCGAAACTGCAAGTCAGCTAAGTAGGTCATAAGGATGGTTTTCAAGTTGCTTGAAACTTTCTTGAATCATTTCAACTTTCCGACTTTATTGCGCTTTTCACAAACACGCGAACTCTAAAATTCAAAAGCAGCCTTCACAATTACGTTTTTCGCTGCCGTCAATCATAATTACCACTGATCACAAGCAATGAACCTTGAAACATAGAAACACACAATAACAATAACAATAACATTTATTATTTGTATTGCGCCTTTTCTATAAAATATTCAAAAGCGCATCACAACAGTAATTAATAACTAAAATTTTACAAATCTTTCTATCAAAATCATAAAAAAATATTTACATTAAATGAGTAAAAGATAATTACAAATAAAGATATAGATATACTTAGATAACTGAAATGAGTCCTTAAATAA